ATGTAAATGATGAGTTGTTGGGTGCTGACGAGTTGATGGGTGCAGCACACCAACATGGCACATGTATACATATGTAACAAACCTGCACATTATGCACATGTACCCTAGAACTTAAAGCATAATAATAAAAAAATAAAAAATTAAAAAATAAAAAAATAACAGGTGTTTTTTTTCATTTTTTAATTGATAAGTTTTCACTAGTTTTACTGAGGAGTTCACCAGTTATGCAGGAATTCAGTCTCTCCACTACTGTAGTTATTGTTACTAGTATAGTTGGGTGTTAGAGAGCCAGCTCTCCTCAGAAAGTTAGAATGACTAGAGACAGCCTTTCAGAAATTCCGAGGGAGTGCAGGAACAACTGCTTGTCGTAACAACTGCTAGAAGTAACACAGTTAGAGAACAAACTGAGGGGAGGGTACGTTTCTGGCTTAATTTCTTAGTAGGTATGAAGACTTGCAAAACAACGAACTTGGATAACAAAGAGACACTAGAATGATTGACTCTGAATTTGTAATTTGACTGTAGAGAGAGAAGAATTCGGGGAGCAAATGTGTGATTTCCATGCATTCCAGAACCACCACCACTATACAGGACCCTAAGAACCCAGAGCATGCGAAGACATTTACTTTTGACCTGGCGTATTGGTCTCATGATGGATTTCAAAAGGATAAAGATGGTGTCCTTATTTCAGCTGATCCTAGTAGTAAATTTGCAGGCCAGGTAAGTTGCTTTAAAACACAGCTTCACTGTCAGTTTTTTGTTGTTTTATTTTTGATGATGTGTTCACAGTGTGAAAGTACAATAATTTTATGCAAGCATAAATATATGCTTCCACATGAGAATTTGACTTTAAATTTACTCCTTTTCTATGCTGACCATGAGGTCCAAAACTACAGCTATTGCCTAAGTAATTTTTAGATACTCAAATCAGTTCATTTGCCAACGTACTGACATACCTTGAAAAAAGCATGATATGACAAGCAAAATAAGCAAACTGTATGAGGCACTGAGCATCTGAGAACTTCTGTTTTAATGAGCATTTATCATGTGCTGTGCACTGTTCTGCCTTAAAGTTGCTCACAATTTGGTTTGGGGAGAAAGGCAAGAAAAGTGCACTCAGATGTTACAGGTTCCGTGATCAGATGTATGGGATACAGCAGGGTACGAAGGTGAGGTGGTCGTTCAATCTAGACAGGATATTTGCTGAATGGTTTAATAAAGGCTGTGATGTTTAGGCTGAGTTTGGACAGACAAGGAGAAACAGTTACGGGGAGGAAATGAACACAGCCTCAGTGACCTGTGGGACAACTTTAAACTCCACACGTCACTGGAGTCACAGAAGAAATGGGAGGGGGTGTGTGCAAGAAACACTTGAGGAATTTATGGCTGAAATTTTCCCAAATTTGATGGAAACTACAAACCCACAGGTCTAAGAAGAGCAATGAGTCCTAAGTAGAATAAACACAAGGGAAATCACAGTGAGCCCCATTTTAATTAAATTGCTATAATCCAGTGATAACAGCTTAAAAACAAGTGAGAAAAGGTGGAGGAACAAGAAGAATGGCAGCAGATACATTGTCAGAACTTTGTGAGCCAGAACACAAGGGAGAGACTTAAGAGCTGAAAGCAGTTCCCAGGCTTGGGCAGGAGCAGTGGTTCATGCCTGTAATCCCAGCACTTTGAGAGGCCGAGACAGGTAGATCATTTGAAGTCAGGAGTTCAAGACCAGCCTGGCCAACATGGTGAAGCCCCATCTCTCCAAAAAATACAAAACAAAACGAGTTGGGCGTGGTGGCACATGCCTGTCATCACAGCTACTAGGGAGGCTGAGGCAGGAGAGTTGCTTGAATCCAGGAGATGGAGGTTGCGGTGAGCCAAGATCGCACCACTGCACTCTAGCCTGGGTGACAGAATGAGACTCCACCTCAAAAAAAAGAAAATAAATTCTCAACCTAGAACACTGTGCCCAAGAAATTTTTTTTCTAATTTTGAATCTTTCAGAAAGATCATTGATTGTCAAAGCAAGAATAATAAATTTTGTTAGGATTCAAAACAAATACAGAAATAAAATATGACAACACTAGAAAAAGGAGACAGGTACCAGAAGTATATTAAGATTTTGCATTATATAGGAAGTAATATAATATTTGAAAATAAAATATTTTAAAGAAATCTATTGTAACCCTAGAACCCAGGGTTTGTTACAAACACAGGGTGATGTTTTATTAACATCAGTTAATAAAAACATTAAAAATCCATTACTAGTAAACATATATAATATAAAAATATTTTTATGAAAAGTAATTTTCTTTTTTTTATTATTTATTTATTTTGAGATGGACTCTCCCTCTGTCACCCAGGCTAGAGTGCAGTGGCACAATCTTGGCTCACTGCAACCTCTACCTCCCAGGTTCAAGTGATTCTCCTGCTTCAGCCTCCCAAGTAGCTAGAATTACAGGCATGTGCCACCACACTCGGCTAAGTTTTGTATTTTTAGTAGAGACGGGATTTCACCATGTTGGCCAGGCTGGTCTCGAGCTCCTGACCTCAAGTTATCTGCCCACCTCAGCCCCCAAAAAGGCAGGTCCTCTCAGCTTGTCTCCCCTGGTGTTCAACCATCTCAGGACCCAGGGCAAAAGTAGTCAGCTCCCCTAACCCTTTTGGTGGAAGAATTTTTATCCCTTTCTCAAATATTACGTGAACGTTGGTTATTGTCTGTTGTCCTCAGGTAAATCACACTACGTTGGTGTGTGCATTTTCCCCAGACACATGAAATAAATTATACAAATGTATATATTGTAATAAATGGAATATCTAATGCTTAGTGCTTTACCATTGCTATTAGCGAGTAGGAAGAAATACACGCTTTGAAACAGCCTCAAGTAAGAGAACTATTGCAGTCGATGGCCGCAGCCCAGATGGTAAAAGGAGCCAGACCACATCCCCTCTCTTTCAGCAACTGTGGGCACAAACGTTTCTATTTTAACTTAAAAAAGGGGGATGCACGTGTGTGTGTTTCAGAACCACTGGAAAGAGTAGAAAAAGAGGAGACGTCACCAGAGAGGACTAAAATGTGTGTGGCTATATTGTGATGTTATTGTTTGAGTTAACGAATAAAGTAGTCGAAAATGCTTTGACTGGTTTCTGTGCCTTGACATTTTTATCTAATTGCTTAATTTTAAAGACCTGGCCCATGTTTTGGCAAGGCTGTGAAGTCCGCAATTTCATGGCGCATGGGGATTAGCTAGTTCAGGATGTACCCGATGTGATCCATGAGGGTAAATGATCAGTGTTTTCCAAGTCGACAAATCCCTTTGTTTTCAGTTTCACTCCACCTGTTCTAAGCTGCATCTGAGCTGTATTTCAAGCAGGTCGTATGGTATGAATTGAGGTGGGATTTTTGAAAGCCAGGATATTTATTCGGATTTAAGAGGACTGAGAAAGCAGGGAAGAGGAGCCCTGCATGCCACTGACTGTGCTGGCCATGCCACCTGTCGTCTTTCCAGAGAGACGTCTTCCGCGACCTTGGCAGGGGAATCCTGGACAGCGCTTGGCAAGGTTATAATGCAACCCTCCTAGCCTACGGCCAAACTGGCTCCAGGAAAAGCTATTCCATGATTGGGTTTGGTGCAAACAAGGGTATTATTCCAACTGTGTGTGAGGAGCTCTTTCAAGCAATTGAGAACCAGGGGAGACATCAAGAACGCCAGGTACGTATTCTCGAATCCCTTCTCTAAGGGACTGTGTTTTTTCATTCCGAACCCCTCCCCCAAATGGAAGTTCTCAGCGTCTCTATTTTAGGATAATGTTTGTTTTTCATACCAAAATGTTTATATGATTACAAAATCATGTTGCAGCTAAATAAGATGGTGGATTTTTCTGGTTATATGGAGGCAAATCCAAGGAAAGTCACTCTGGTGTAATATGCTAGAGTCAGACATCTTAATTGCTAACACTAACAAGGGATTATTATCGGATATTATTATTTGGTTTATAAAACAAAACCTTAGCCAACTCACATCTGTGGCTGCCTTTGCCACCCTCTTCTGCCAACATTGTGGCTCTATGCTCGTCTTCATCAACGTGTTTTTAGTGCTGAAGAATATTACTTTGTTTTTAAATTGTTTTTTACACAGAGCATAGCCTTTTACTTGCCCTAGCACATGAGACCCAAGACCAAATTTTAGATTCACTGAACGTTGGTGATATTTTCAAGATGGAGTGTACCATTAACATAATTAGCTTTAAAACATGACAGGAGAATGTCAACAAATGCCTGTAAGCATAGTTCATGGTTCTGCATTCCTAAAATGGTAGCACCGTTTAAGCTGGTGTTATGAAAACGCAATACTGCATATTTTTTATCTTATTTTTCTGATGTTAATGGTAACATGTTCAAGTTAGAGAATTTTATATTTACAATATCACCTAACTACCGCTAACATTTCAGTA